CCTGTGCGGAAGCTTAGTCCAAAGCAGAAGCTCCCCCCCCCCCCCCCCGTTTTTCATACATTTGACACTGTTTTAACATTGTTTTCAGCCAGAAGGAGGTGGTGCACACCTTGAATCCCAGCACTGGGAGGTAGAGGCAGATGGATCGCTGAGTTTGAAGGCCAGCCTGGTCTATAGAGTGAGTTCCTAAACAGCCAGGGATACACAGAAAACCCTGCCTTGAAATATATATAAATATCCAGGCTATGGTGGTGTAAGCCTTTAATCCCAGGAGACAGGAGACAGATGCAGGCAAATCTCTGAATTTGAGGCCAGCCTGACCTACAGATTGAGGAGGGCCAGAGCTACACAGAGAAACCCTGTCTTGAAAAGGCAAATGAACACATGATTATTTGTAATTGAATTTTAGCATCCAGAAAAGTGCACACATATTATGAGCCCATAAGGTGTAGTGACGTGTGTATCTGACACCCGGATTGAGAACCAGAACATAGTGAGCACCCCAGGGGTCCTCTGCCCTACAAGTCACTCCCTCACTCTCTTGCTGAAATGTAAATATCATTCTCTAGCATTTCAGATGCCACCCACAAGCCTATTTTGTGTGCCCCACAAAACACTTTCTTTTATATGTACAGGGCTCCGAACCACCACTGCTGGGATTCCAGGCAGTTGTGAGCCATCTGTCATGGGTGCTGGGGATTGAATTCTGACCCTGCGTGAGTGCACGTGTTCTTAACCACTGAGCCATCTTAAATGGTAACATATTTAGTGTTTTATGACATGAAAATTACTTGTTTATGAATAAAATTTTATTGGGACACTACCGTGTTCATTTCTTTAAAAATTTTTTTAATTAATTCGTTGAGAATTTTATACAATGTATCTTGATCACATTCACTTCCTATTTCTGCCCCCAATCCCTCTTAGATCCACCTCAACACCCCAACTTCATGTCCTATTTATTTTTTTAATAACCCACTGAATCGAGTTTCTGCTGCCTACTTACTCATGGCATGGTGGACTTACGAGGGGTCACACCCTAAAAGAAAACAGGCCTGCCCTTCCCCAGAAAATATCAGCTCCAGAGAACCTCAGTTAGCAGTAGGGGCTGTGAGCCTTTCTCCCCTTGTGGTTCAAATGAAAATGGATCACAGGGGGCGGCACTATTAGGAGGAGTGGCCTCGTTGGAGTAGGTGTGGCCTTGTTAGAGGAAGTGTCGCTGGGGTGGACTTTGAAGTTTTAGATGCTCAAGCCAGGCTCAGAGTCACCCTTCCTTTCTGCTGCCTAAGGAGCCAGATGTGGAACTCTTAATCCCTCTCCAGCACCATGTCTGCCTGTGGCCTACCATGCTTCTCACCATGATGATAGAGGCCTAAACCTCTGAACTGTAAGCTAGCCCCAGTGAAATGAATAAGTGCCATGGTCATAGTCTCTTCACGGCAATAGAAACCCTAACTAAGAGGCCCCTCTACGCCAGAATTTTCACTGGCTTGACCTGGTGTAGACAACCGCTGGCCATTCTAAGTTCGTGAGTACAGGGAAACTGTCGTGTCCAGAAGATGCCATTTTGCTCTGATCTTCCCCAACCTCTGTCTCTCACAGTCTTTCTGTCCCTCCCCATCCACAATGGTCTCTGAGTCTTGGGAGCATGTTCATATGGCTATTTTAACACTCTGATGGCACAGTTGAGTAGTTGTGACAGAGATCGTATTGTCCACAACACCCAAAGTACTTATCTGGCCTTTGTCACAAAATCTGATACTCTGCATTGGACTGTAGGTTTCATGAAGGTGGTAGGGTGAGGGACAATCTCATTCACTCTTTCTTAGAGCATCACACAGTGTCTGGCACCCAGTGGGCATTCATAAGGGATTTATCTATCTATCTGCTTGTACATCTTTATGCCAGAAGAGGGCATCAGATCCCACTATAGATGGTTGTGAGCCACCACATGGTTGCTGGGAATTGAACTCAGGACCTTTGGAAGGGCAGGCAGGGCTCTTAACAGCTGGGCCATCTCTCTAGCCCACACACAGTTTTATGTTTGGGAGTCACCACAACATGAGGAAAGGCTTGCAGCATTAGAAAAGTTAAAACAAACAACAACAACACTGAGGTAGAGAGGCAGGTAGATCTGAGTTCAAGGCCAGCCACCAGGTGAGTTCCAGACCAGCAAGGGCTATATAGTGAGACCCTGCCTCGAGAAAACAAAAGAAGCCTTCTGTATGTGGTACGCAAACGTCGGTTGTCACTTCCCATATACTGCTCTGCAGTAGAGCACAGGACGCTGCAGAGTCCTGGAAGAACTTTGTGCATTCCTAATGCTTTCTCTTAGATCCACACTCCCAGCCCACGTCCTTAGAGTAGCACATAAGTACATTTTGGGGAAACTATGTGACTTGCTCCTAGTGTGCCTGTGCTAGAGTCGGGCCTATCACCGGGGCCTCCAGCTACTGCCCTGGAATGCATCCATCCAGGCCCAGATGAATAACAATGAGTCGTGTGTATCTGGATCACTTTAATCATTAGCTTTCTGTACGCTGCCAGGACCCTCCTGTGACATTGCATTTTTCATAGGGAGAACTCGCAGTTTGATGAATCTCACTCTCAGACCTTAAGGCCCCTTCTGAACTGCTAATGCCTTTCAAATGAGCAGCAACGACATATAGAGAGCAGGAGATGGTGGCGGCTGCCAGGCCCACCTCACCCCATTCCAAGAGGACAGCTTGGAGCAAAAGTGCTGTTTGTGAGTCAGCCTCCCCGCAGGGGACTAGACACACACACACACACACACACACACACACACGGAAGAGTGGAGAGCATGTGAAGAAGGAACTCTGAGCAGATACTGAGGCAGGGAAGCTCCTAGGGGCCGGCAGCAGTTAGAAGCCACGGCCAGGCCCAGCTCAGGAGCTCAAAGGAGAGGTTGCCCAAGAGTCATAGCTGGAGGGATGGGTCCTGGAAGAAGTGATGGTCTCTTCGAGAGGAGGGCCAGATGAAGACAGCAGGAGAAGGACTTCCAGGCCAGTGACAGCCACATCTGCCTCCGCCACCTCAGACCCCAGGGGTGGGTTCCAGCAGGCTGGTCTTCCCAACTGCCTGCCCATCCCATGAGTTCCCTTTTGCTAGCATTTAGCTTCCCATCATCAGGGTAGTCCACCCTCCCATCCAGTGATGTAACTGGAGTTATACACTCAGAAGAATGGCTTGTATGTTCTCTACCAAGGACGGTTTTGGCCCTCAGGAGACACTTGGCTATATTGGCACTTTTGGTTGTCGTGGCCCAGCATATAGTCAGTAGAAGCCAGGAGTTCATACTGTGCTCAGCACAGCTTGCCAAGAACCAGCCAAATGTCAGTGGAGCTGAGGTGGGAGGCCAGGGAATGAACTAACTGCCCGGGGCCTCCCGGTGCAGGTACAACCTCGTCTGTTCCTCATTTCGTCTGCATCGGGTCCTTCCGTGAATGCCTTGCTCCATCCTCTGGCTGAGGCAGCTCCCAGTCTCTCTCAGTTGCCTGCTGGGCTGGATCTCAATGTGTGTGTGAGTGTGTATGAGTGTGTGTGAGTGTGTGTGTGAGTGTGTGTATGTGTGAGTGTGTGTGTATGAGTGTGTGTATGTGTGAGTGTGTGTATATGAGTGTATGAGTGTGTGTGTGTATGAGTGTGTGAATGTGTGTGTGAGTGTGTATGAGTGTGTGTGTGTGTATGAGTGTGTGTATGTGTGAGTGTGTGAATGTGTGTGTGAGTGTGTGTATGTGTGAGTGTGTGTGTATGAGTGTGTGTATGTGTGAGTGTGTATATGAGTGTGTGTATGTGTGAGTGTGTGTATATGAGTGTATGAGTGTGTGTGTATGAGTGTGTGAATGTGTGTATGAGTGTGTGTATATGAGTGTGTGTATGTGTGTGTGTATATGAGTGTATGAGTGTGTGTATATGAGTGTGTGTGAGTGTGTGTATGTGTGAGTGTGTGTGTATGAGTGTGTGTATGTGTGAGTGTGTATATGAGTGTGTGTATGTGTGTGTATATGAGTGTATGAGTGTGTGTGTATGAGTGTATGAGTGTGTGAATGTGTGTATGAGTGTGTGTGAGTGTGTGTGTACAAGTGAGTGTGTGTGCACGCGTACGTGAGTGTGCGTGTCCCCGCTTCCTCCAGGTTTGGCAACAGCGGCTTTCACCAGGTTGCTCCCTCCCACAGCCAAGCCTAGCCTTGTCCTCAAGTCTCCTGTCTCGCCCCACCCACCCTCTCTGTTCATCCCTCTCTGCCCTCCTGGCCCACTTCCAGTTCACCTCCTCCATCCTCAGCTGCCTCCCGGTAATTCACCCAGGTTGGATCCTTCTAAACATGGAACAAAGCAGACTTGTCTAGCGCTAACCAAGGTCATGCTCAAAGCTGGGGGTGCTTTTTCCGGTTTCATGCCTGAGCCATTTGCTCACTCTGGAGCGCCTCCTGGAAATACTTACTTTTATCTCACCGATACTGTGGGTCCTGGAGCTGCTGAGCCCGGTCTGGTACCGGCTCCTTTGGTTGAATAGGTAGGGGGGCCTGCCAGAAAATGACCTCACCCTGTTGGCCCTGGGGGAGTTATGGGAGGAAGCCGCAGCCTGGGAAGTGTACGGTTCCTAGGCACTAGGGAGGTCTGAGCTGAGGAGGCTAGCCCTTTAATTTGTACCCCTTCCACCTGGCCATAGGATCCCACCCCGCCTGTCACCAGCCCCCTTAGCCCTGCCCTGGTCCAGATGCCACAGAGAAAGGGCTCCTGAGATGGAGTCAGCTGAGGTCTGGATGGGGATCCGGATGCACAGCTTCTGTATTCCTCTCGTCCCTTCTCCCAGCCCCCGACCCCTATTCAACTCCCAGGAAAGCAGGCAGAGCAGGAGACCCCCAGGACATCAGGCACACTCTGCTCTGCTTCACTGTCTGCCTGAGGCCACCGTGTCCCAGGTCCACCTGCCCCACCGGGGCCAGCAATGCAGGAGGACCAGGACTGGGCTAGGGAGGGGCCCCATCCTTCACTGCATCCCCACCAGCTCGGTGATGGACGGAGCATGCACCATGAACTCCTCATAATGACTGAGGAACAATCGGAAGCGGGCCACGTATGAGTCCTCATTGTAGGGCAGCTGCTTGTCATGAAGAAACTTCGATACCAAGGGCTTCACCTGAGAAAGAGTCAAGGAGCCCTCTGAGTGGCAGGCTGCCTCAGGCTGCCCATCCCAGGAGCTCTCCCTTGTCCAATCCTAGCCATTATCTGCTGGGGAAGAGGGGGACTGAGGTATAGGAGAACTTTTGCATCCTTGTACACTACCCTAGAGGGGAAGAATGGCCTCATCCTCATTCCCCACAAAACCCTGGACTACATGCCCACCCTCCTCAGCCCAAAGGGTGAACATGGCTCCCTCTGCTAAGCACCTTGTGTGGGTCAAATACTTCAGATCTAATCTCATCCTCAAAATCATCAAGGTGAACCTTGTCCCTCCCATTTTACAGACAGGGAAACTGAGGCTCAGTGGCCTTGCCCAGAGTCACACTGCTGCTAGGAAACCCAGGTGACCCTGTTATAAAACTCATGTTGTTACTTGTACTCCAGGCTACCCCTCTTGGATGACCTTTGAAAAGGCCAATGAGGGAGCTGGGAGTTCAGATGTACCTGGAAGTCCCCCTATCCTCCCTCAGACAGGCCCCCCTTATGCCCCTCCCCCAAGCCTTTGGCTACCTTCAAGCACATGTGGTCAGAGAGCCAAGGGAAGAGGTGATGCTCTACGTGGCAGCTGATGAGTGAGTGGCCGAATGCCCAGTCCAGCACGGGCTGCCGGGGCAGGTTCAGTACCCCCAGGCTCATCATGTGAATCCGCCGGGGCTTCTTGTCCAGGGAGAACATAGGCAATCCAATGTGCTGTGATAGACATATGGGTCACACCCTGCAGGGGCTTAAACAACCCCCGTCTGACTTCACCAAGCACTCAGGAGCCAGTGGGACCCTACAGGTGTGAGAGACCAGCTCTGGTCCAGTTCCGGGGCTAACCCTGTCTGCCGTGAGCCGAGTCTTCCCAACATCTGGGCCTCTCCCCCTTCAGACAACAAAGGGCTTTGCCTGTGCATTTTCCCAGAGCCCTGGTATCCAAAAGCCTGTGATTCACTGCTTGCTCTTGTGACCCTGTGTGCCTCACACTGGTGACATGCTTTTACCTGTGTGTCAAAGCTCAAGTGCATGCCCAGCCAATGCCATGAGGCAAGCCAAGGGCGGGGGGCGGGGAGGGGGAGCTTTGAGAACAGCCAAGAGCTCAGCTGGCACTGTTTCTACAGGGAGACCTCGCTGCCCCCTATGGGTGAAGACCATTTCTGCCGGCTCTCAGCACATCGGCAGCTAATTCCCTCCACCTTCTCAAGTGTCCCATCTACTAAAGTACCCATTTACCTCCAAGCACCCTAGACCCAGGGACATGCCTAGTGGAGAAGGTACTTGTGTGCACTGATTGAACGAAGCAGTAGAGGAGGCTGTGCAACCTGACCTCGAATGATGAGTAGGGTTTAGACTGGAGAAGAAAGCAGGGAGGGTCCCTCCAGGACCAGGCAAAGGCTTCAGTGGAGCCCAACTTCCTGTGATGGCCACAGTGATAGGGGCAGGGATGGGGGAACGTGTCCTTCAGTGACCTCTCTCTACCCAAACCTTGGGTCTGGTCTGCTGTCAGACACCCTGGAGATGCTGTCTTGACTGCCTGTCCCCAGGGCTGATAGTTTACCTGGAAGATGTTGACATGAAGATAGGGGTGGGCCAGCAGGGATCTGGCGAGCAGCATGCAAGCCAGTGCTGAGCTGGGGCTCTTGAAGCCCGACACATTCAGGAGCAGCCAATACTGAGAATAAAGGCCCAGTGATATGAAGCTCAGTGTCCGCAGGGCCACCCTCAGCTCTTCCTTCCTCAGACGCTCTGTCAGAGGGGCAAGAGGTGATGTGACAGGGAGCCATCATGAGCCGGCTCCCTGGTAACTAGCAGTGTTGAAGTAGAGGGGTGCTCTGGGTGTATCCATTGAACCCAGACAACATGAAAAGCATGTCAAGACCTGCTCCATAGCCCCCATTCTCCTAACCCTTGGTATTGTTCCATAATAGCAGCAATTACAACTTGCGGTGTGGTTTGTACGGGGGGCACAAAGTGGTCCTCCACACTCTAAGACTGTGTGTGTGTGCGCGCACGTGCGTGTGCATGTGTGTGCATATGTGCATGTGTGTGTGCGTGTGTGCATGGTGTGTGTGTGCGTATGTGTGTGTCTTAAGTGCTGGTGCCCATGGAAGCCAGAGATGTTGACTGATTCCCCCTGAAGCTGGAGTTGCAGGGGATTGTGAGCAGCCCAGCACAGATGCTAAGAATTGAAATCTGGTCCTCTGGAATGGCAGGGAGCCCTCTTAACCTCTGAGCCATCCCCTCCAGCCCCCAAAATGTTCCCTTACATCTGTGGGCCCTTATGTTTTCACACCATCCTTGAGCAGATTGAAGAACCCGAGGCAGGCAGGTCAAGTTACCTGGCCCACAACCACCAGCCAGTAAGTGAAGGAGAGACCTGGACCAGGTCCGGGGTTCTTTCCACCCAGCTTGGCTGCTTCTGACAGTCCTGACTCACAAAGCAAGGAAGGAAGGAAAGAGGGCTGCGGCGGGTCCTCAGGACACTCCAGTCCAGTACTCACCGAGAGCCACCAGCGGAGTTAAAATGGGGATGAAAAGTGGTGCGAGGAACATGTAGACGTATCTGTTGAGGCACGGCATCTTCCATGTGCTCGAGTCTCCCAGACCCACCACGTTGGTGTAACCATGGTGCATGTTGACGTGGTTGAACTTGCCGAACTCTGCAGGAAAGGCTGTGCATACCTAGCGTGGCAGCCAAAAGGGTACTGGGTCCATGTTGGACACGACCGAAAGAAACAGAACCCAGGGAGCCTCAAGAACACTCCACCCTTCCCGAACCCATCACCCCTAAGCCCTCCTTCTCTGCATCCACAGCCAATCTAACTTCCCATCATCTCTCAAGCATCCATGCTCCCCATGTAGCCATCTGCTTGATGTTGCTCTCTCTGCAAAGCATTTAGGGACAAGGAGGCTGGATCCCTGGGTTGCCACCCTCCCCCCACTGGCCACCAGTCAGGCAACTTCTCAAACCCCAGAGGCTGTCAGTGCAGATAAAGCGGGAATCCGCCACAATCAATTTGTGTGTGTACTTGGCAAACAGCTGTACCTTCCTGATACTACTTGGCAGCCTGAGCTCAGAGGTGGTTTGAGGGTGCATGGGGTCCCTTCCTGAAGAGGACATAATGCAGGCTGAAGGGGCTTTGGGGCACTGGTATGCACAGAGCCAGATCTCCCTAGAGTGACTATTTTTGGCATGGGTCTGCCAAGGGATTCTTCAAAGTACAGCACCCACTCTGCCAAGGAGAGCAATCGTTCAGAATGCCAAAGAGGTGCTGGGTTGTTTCTTATGCAGATGTAAGGCCTCAAGGGCTTTATCCAGGGCAGAAGATTTTTACTTTAGTGAAGATGCTTTCCTGTTTCCAGGAGAAGGGGAAGCTTCTTGAAGCCAGCTACTGTGAGGCAGGCAGACTGCAGGATGCATAGGCTGAACACCAGGTCTCAGAGTCAGGCCTGCCTCACGCACTGGCCCACCCAGTGCACGCTTTACACCGCTGGGGATCTGTCCCACGTAGAAGCTAATTCCTTTTGTTTGTCTTATGAATTAGTGTGTGTGTGTGTGTGTGTGTCACACGAATGCCATGATGCATGTGAGGAGGTCCCAGGACTACTCTGTAGAGTCAGCTCTGTTTCCACCTTTATGCAGGCTCCAGGGATCAAGCTCAGGTCACTAGGTCTGTATAGTGGCTTTTACTTCCTGAGCCATCTCTGGGGCACCTGGAAGCAACTTCTTGCTCTCTCCCAAGGCCAGTCCCCGCTTGCTCATCAACAGTTGATTTTTGCTCCTGGCAGCAGCTCATCCTCTCCCTGCAGACCAGTAGTTAACTGTTCTTAGTCAATGCCAGAACCAGCCTGGAGCCTAACCAGGCCTGTGCATCTAGAGATGGGTAACCTCAGGTACCTGCAGGCTTCTCAGCAAGGTCCCAAGCACAAGCCCGGGCCCTCCACAATGCGACTTGTGACTTGATACCCACTTGTGGAGCCAATGGGTGCCTTTGCCTTTTTCTATGAATAAGGACTTGCCTGAGGCTTTTATAACTAGATATCTAGGTGTCCCCCCCCCCTTTGTGTATGTTCACACGTGGGTGTGCACACTTGTGTGAAAGTGCTCACTGAGGCCAGAATGGGGCATCGGATGCCCTGGAGCTGGAGTTACAAGACTTGGAAGCTGCCGGGAACGGAACTCTACAAGAGCACCTAACCCCATCCAGGCCTCCCGGTCCCAATTAGATGCTCTCTCCTGAGAGACAGAAGGGGGTGATTTGTCGGAGAGAGGAGGAAGGCGGATTGGAGTCTGTAGATTGCAGCACGTGTGCCCGTAACCCATCCACTCAAGGACAGCGGGAAGGGAATACTGCACGCCGCTGAGTAACTTGTACGGTTTTGTTCTTTCTGTAAACTGCCTTCTGTTGTTGTTATTGTTGGGGACAGGGTCTGGACAATGGCCACCACGCTTCTTCCTAACCCTGCCCATACTGCTGCCCTGCTCCTAGCCCTTTTCCGGAGCGGACCCATGATGGCCTTGGCTTCCGCCTAGATTTTGCCCTTGACCCTTTTCGCTCCTCCACCCTCTTGCACTGGATGGCAACCAGCTAACATCCTGCACCCCGTTCCCCGCACCCCAGCCTGTCCCTGAAATCCCTCGTATCTTCCTCCTGACCTCTCTACCAACAGCCTCCAGCCAGTCTCCTGCTTCATCCACCACCAATCAAACCAGCAGAGTGACCTAGTTCCAGCCCAGTTTAGATGGTGCTGTAATTTTATGCTTGCTTTTTTAACCCTGCAAAGCAGGATTGGATTTTTGTTTCTTTGGGCAAGGCCTCTAGTCCCCGAGCGGGTCTCTAACTCCCTGTATACCCGAGGATGACCTTGAACTCCTGACACTCCAGCCTCTACTTATCTAGTACTGGTTACAGGTATGAATCATCAGGCCTGGTTTTATGCAGCACTGAGGATCAAACCTGGGGTTTTGTGCACGCCAGGCAAGTACTCTACTCTGCCAACTGAGCTACAGCCCCAACCCCTGTTTACTTAACAGAAGAACGGCATGGGTAGAGCTGATTCCTTGGTTGATATCCCAGGAGGAAAACTCAGCCTCAGACTTTGTGTTTGAAGCAAGATCTCACTGTGTAGCCCTGGCTGTCCTGGAACTCGCTACGTAGACCAGGCTGGCCTCCAACTCACAGAGACCCGCCTGCCTCTGCCTCCTAAGTGCTGGGGTGAAAGGTGCATAGTACCATGCCGGACTAACACTGGACTCAAGCTCTTTCTCATGGCTAACCTCTTTGCCTGATGCATGGACCTTCTTGGCCCCCTTTCATTTGGGCCCCTGTGAGAATCTCGTGGCTTCCAGACACCTCACCAGCTGCCCTTCCAAAATTCCTCCAGGGTTTCTCAGTCTCTTCACCACTGGTATTAAAGACCAAGTCGCTTCCCCAACCCCAACCGCTTTTCCGACTGTGTGTGTGTGTGTGTGTGTGTGTGCGCGCGCGCACGCGCGCGTGTATGTATGTGCATGTGAGTAAGTGCATGTGGAAGCCTGCAGTTGATGTCACCCTGTCTATTGAGGCGGTGTCCCTCAGTCCCACCCAGGGCCTGCCAGTACTGTCAGCCTTGATAGGGAGCTTGCTCTGGGGATTCCGCTGTCTGAAGCTGAACTGGAGACCCAGTCTCCCAGTTTTGCTTGTGTGGCCAACACTGGTCCCCACAGCCTGTCCGTGTCACTTGCACGGACTGTGCGTCTTGAGAGTCTATGCGTGTGATAAAAAGGCACAGAACTGGACACGCGCAAGTGCCGACATCAGCTTCCTTGGTTTTGATGTTGAATGACACATAAACATATAAATATAATTACTGGAAGAAAATAGGAATGGCCTATCTGATCCACTAGACTTCTCTCCCCTACATTGAGACGGTTTACGAACCTGTAATTATCATAAGACTTGAAAGTCTTTATACAGCAGTGTATTTTGTACTGAATATTTGCATTGGTCCTCTAAATAAAAACACTTAAGGTAAGGAGAGAGAGAACAGCTCCAAGATGGAGCAGGTGTTTGCTACGCACAAGAGTCCGCATTCAATCCCCAGAACTGAAAAAGAAAACATACATCTGTCACAGCTGCTTTTATCCGAACAGAACCCTGGTGGAAGCAAGCTGGTGAGGGAACAGCCTTGATGGCGCTGTACTGGACTCAGTCACGAGAAAGCATGAGGATCGTGACGAGGCTGGGGCTTCTCTACGGTGTGTGTCACAGGGGACCTATGGATGGTGACAGCCATTCCCCTGTGCGGCACAGCAAGCTACACAGGCTTCCCTGTGGATCGGCTGGCTGTGGCTCCGTCCCCACAGCACAGAGCTGAGTCTACAAGGAGGGTTTAAAAAGGAGCCAGAATAAAGAGCTCCGAGAGAGCATGGCTGGTTCCCGCTCATTCTGGGGAGCAAGCATCCTTGGCTGTGACACTAGAGGCCTTTAAGAGGTTAGAACTTAAACCATGATGGCCCGCTCCGCCTGTCTTCTAGTGGTCATCTTAGCATGACATCCTTCCCTGGCCAGCTTCCCTAGCAGCCTGGGTGGTGTAACCAGGATAGAGAAAGCATGCTGTGTAAGGCCATGGTAGGAACTGCCTCAAGTGGGCCAGAAGAGAAAACTCACCTGGTGTGGGTAGACTTACATGATTTTGAATATAGCCTAGAGTGGTAGCCCATTCTATTCTGTCTACTCCCGCTCTCCCGAGCAGCTGGATCAGAGAGAGCCTGGTCCCACACCACTTCAGACCCAGTAGGCTGGGAGATAATACTTCTAAACACCGAACTACCTAAGAAAACCAGAGGTAGCCAGCTGATGCCTGGAGCTGCAGACTCTGTAGAACCCCAAGGAAACCCAGGGCCTAAGACCAGATGTTCTACAGTGGTGGTGTATCCCCAGGGGTCCAGGAGACAAGAGAAGGCTAAAAGGGAGAAGACAACAGGATGTAGAAGTGAGAGCCAGGGATCCAAGAGGAGTGCTGTGTCCCCTCTGAGGTTCCAGGCCACAAGAGCCTGACCTGTGCCAGGTAAGCCAATACCAGCACCTGCACCACACTGCCAGGCTCTGCAGCCTCACAGCTAACAAGCACAAAACAACACCAAACCAAACACAGTGGAAAGCAACCCATGCTGGCCCTGCAGCTGTCAGTGCAGTGTGTCCTCACCAGAGAGAAAACACAAAACAACACTGTGGCTCGTGGACCTGAAAATTCTGCACTGTCTCATCCAACGCCCTCGCAGGGCTAACGAGGAGGCAGCGTAATCATGTTTGTGGATTCATGAAGAAACTAACCCCAGATACAGAATTAACCATCTTGCTCAAGGTCACCACTATGGGGCTGGGACACCAATAAGTCACAAGGCTACAAAGGCCTTGGGAACTGGTCCTAGAAGGAGCCAGAATCATACCCTATGGCTGGAGAATGGAGATGCCTCCCTGCCTGGGTTACTTAGCGGGCCTGACTGACAAAACTACCTCTGCATTGCCCACTGCAACACAGTCACAACATGAAGGGGGAACCCAGGCCTTTCGTCTCCAGCCACAAAAGGGCATAGGCCTATGGAGCATCACACGCACACGCACACGCACACGCACACACCATCAGCTAGTTTTCCCCTAGACCTTGTCCCCAAATGGAATGCAAGGTCAAGGTCAGCAAATACTGATGGAAGGACTGCTAAGAACCTGGGTCAAAGAAAGGAAAAGATGAGGTCATTGAAGCGGGTTCACAGGGGACAACGCTATGGGCCTAAGGCACCGTATGCGTGGAATGCACACACAGACAGGCAGTTGCACACACACACCTGTAAATAAAAGGAAGGACCTTCAAAACCACCCAGCAAGTTAAACTTGCTGTCAAGCCTAAGGACCCGAGCTGGGTCCCCAGGATCCATACGGTAGCAAGAGAAAACTGAGAACTAACTCCTGCACATCGTCATCTAACCTTCACTGGTGTGCCATGCAGCCCCCACATTCACAAACACACACACACATACAAAACAAATAAATGGAATAAAACAAAAATTGTAATGAAATTTAAAAATAGTTGTGTGACTTTATAAAAAAAATATAGCAATTGGGTTGGTTGGCCCCGATAATGGGTCCTTTCCAGAAATGCCTGTTCCTGCGAGCCGCTTCCCCAGCTATTCCTACGGAAGCTGTGTGGCTAGGTGAGGGTCCTCCTGGGGTAGAGGAGAGGACGAGTTTGGCAGAGGATCTGGAGAGGCTTGAAGGCTTGAAGAACAATTGTCCAGAGGCCTTTGCCTTCCTACTGGGCCCACAGGTGAGAAGGCAGAGCCCTTCCTGGAGGGCTAGAGGAGCGAGGAGCCTCTTAAGATGGCTCAGCCATCAGCAGGCCAAAGAGCAGGCTACACAGCTGGAGTGCTGTGACATTGCCCTCCCCCCATCTACCCTTAAAATAATAATCCCTGATTGCAGAACCCAGAAGTTTCTGTGTGCCAACACAGCCCAGAGCAAGACTGGCCAGTTTCAGGCATCCTGGGCAGAAGAAGCTATCCACCTTAGGCTTAGCGCTACAGAGAGAGCTAGAGGGGTCCAGGTGTCTCTGTCTCTGTCTCTCTTTCCTCTCTCCCACTGTTCCTGTCCCCAGAGGCCAGTCTCCCTCCCCTTTCCCCTTTTTACCATCTTTTCCCCTAATAATAATTAAAACAAAAAACTTCCGCTTGAACTCTGTCCAATGCATGGCATGTTTCTCTCACCCACCACTTTTTTTTTTTTAAAAATTACAACACTAGGGACAGGGAACAAGATGTGACAAAAAATGTTTATGCCACTCAACCGATGAAGATTATCACAAGATAAGCCAAGTTCATCGTCAGAGGTGGACACGGGGCTGTGTAGGATGCAGGATTACTCACTAATGTCGACTTCCTCTCAAAGGCTTGGAAGACTACATGGGCGCACGCACGTGTACACACACACACACACACACACACACACACACACGCACGCAAACTGTATTGCACACTACGCACTAGGATCCACCTACCCACTGCAGCAGCTGCCTGCTCATATGGATGAACAGCAACTGCCTCTGCCCCACCTCGGCCAGGCTCACCTCCACAAAGAAAATCATCAGGATCTTGCTCCAGCGTTTGGACTCTGTGAGGGCACCGTGAGTGGCCAGGTGGCTGCCCTTGACCGTGAGAGTGTAATGGCACATGCCCAAGATTGTGATGCCAGTGGCAAAGGCCAGTACATTATGGACGCGTAGGCACAGGAACCCTACAAAGAGGAGGGATCAGGCATCAGGGTCTTTCACCGTCTTTTGAAAATGTGGGTCCAGACCTTCGTGCACAACAGACATGTCCAAACCCCAAGCCAAAGAGGGCCAGCCCTGGGTCTGTGGTGGGCAAGTTCCTGGGCCCGAGGGGGTGCACTGTCTCTCTAAAGGATTTGGGACATAAAAAATCCTCCATGGGCTTGCCAAGGGTACTCTGCTGTCCACATTCTGCCAGGTCACCCTCCCGGGCCCCAGCCAGAGCAGAGATGGGGACTAGATGTCACAGGGCCATTAGATCACGAGCGGTGCGGACCGCTTCAGTCCCACTCTGCCCATCTCTGCCACCCCACCCCATCCCCGGTAGAACATGCTCTTTCCTTCTCTGCCTGTCACCAACCCCTTCCCCACCCATTCAGCGCTCCTGGTGCAACTTTTTCGTCCGCCACTTTCAAGCGTCGGACTGTCTCCCACCTCCAGCGGGGCATGGGGTGGACACCCCTCAACTAGACTTTGGAGACTGAAGCGGGCTCCAGGATCCTAGAGTTCCAAGGTTCCCTTCCAGCTTGCACCACCTTCAGCCGCGCGCCACCCCCACCGCAGCCGGTGCCTTTGTCTCACCCGCCGGCAAGGCGAGCAGGCTGAGAGCCAGGATGGCGCAGTCCACACCGCGGCGCTCCCACCAGGAGCTGGCCCGCACCACATCCTGCACCTGCCGCTCCAGCTCGCTCAGCAGCATCTCCGCAGCGCCGTCCCCCGGGGACGCACAGTGCGCGGGATCCATGGGATCCCAGGACTCAACGGGGCTGGGGACAAGCGAGGACTCGGGTGTGAGTGGCTGCTGCTCCCGAGAGAAGACAAACGCGCGTGGAGGGGGGCGGAGTCACGCACGGAGTTGGGACACCACCAGCCCGAGGTCACCGTGACAGGCTCGGTACCTTCTGCGGCGGGCAGGGCAGCCGGGACCCGTGACCTAGGCGGGGCCTGAATGCAGCCTCCCTGCCAGCCTGCAGCACCAGCTGGGCGGAGAGGGCGGAGCCAAAGCGAAGCACCAGGGGTGGAGGTGTGTGACCCTGTGACAAGGGCCAACCTGGGGCAGAGGGAACTGGGCTGGAGGAAAGTAGAAGACCCGAAAGGCCACCTCCTCTCCCTCGCCTCTCAGTCTTCTCCTTGGGTTTGTTCTGCGTCCTTTCTTAGGCCCAAACCTGAGTATTTCTCTTTTTAAATTTTGTTTCATTAAATTACTAGTGCGTATGTGTAGATGTGTGTGGTGTCCATGTGGAGTTCAGAGGACCTATGGGGATGAGTTCTCGTCTTCCGCCATGTGGGTCCTGGAGAGCTCAGGTCATCAGGCTGGACAGCAAGCACCTCTACTGCCCGAGCCATCCGCGGCTGTCTCAGGACCTCCTCTGCAACAGGCATATTCATCTGTGGTATCTGGAACCTAAGTGTTTCTAGATTGCTGAAGCAGAAAACCCAGGGACTCACTTTGCAGATAGGACGTGTGTGTGTGTGTGTGTGTGTGTGTGTGTGTGTGTGTGTGTGTCTGTCTGTCTGTGGAGGTCCACTCTGAGTGTGGTTTAAACAGAAGTGACCTGACTCCCCTCTCTACTACCCCTTTTCATCTTCACACTACCCTCCCCCAGTTTCATATCAAACCCTTTTATAAAAAGCTGCCTGGGTCTGGTATGCAGGAGACAGCATTTTTCCAGGAGACCCTTGGGCAGGGAGAAAGAGGCATGCCTTTAATTCCTCTTCTGGAGCAACCCTTCATGGATTCATCTATGTTCCTTCAGTTTTGCATTTGAAGGTGTGGTCTGGCTTTCAGGCAGGCTTCTCTCGAGGGATGCTGTAGCCCAGGTGAGGCTCACACTTATGATCCCTGCCCCAGCCTCCCGTACTGGGGTCAATGGGCCAAGGTCAACATCTCCCCACCAAGCCAGTGTCCTCCTAGAACTGTTCCCTTGACATCCACATACTCAAGAGGCTTTGTGTATTCCCGGTGACCTCGAGGAGATGGCAGTCTCCTATGTAGTTCGGGTATTTCTTTCCAACAGTTTGGATCTGGGGATCAAACCCAGGCTTGGCAACCAGCAAGGGCCTTTACCTGCTGAGCCATTTCTCCAGCCATTGTTTATTTATTTGTAAGACTTTTTAAATTTATTTTATGTGTATGAGTTTTTTTTTTTACCTGCATGCCTGCATGTCTATAAGTGCATCAGATGAATGCCTGGTACCTCGGGGGGGGGGGGATTTAGGGGACAGAAGAGGGCACTGGATCCCTGGAACTAGAATTACAGGAGTTACCAGGTGGGTGCTGGGAACTGAACCTGGGTCCTCTGTAAGAAGAGCAAGTGCTCTTAACCACTGAGCCATGTCTCAGGCTCCACCTCTTATTAAAAGTGAACCCTGCTGGAGAGGGGGCTGGAGAGGTGGCTCAGAGGTTAAGAGCACTGGCTGCTCTTCCAGAGATCCCGACTTCAATTCCCAGCACCCACATGGTGGCTCACAACCATCTATAACCATATCTGGTGCCCTCTTCTGGTGTGCAGGCATACACGCAGGCAGAACACTGTACACATAATAAATAAATAAATCTTTTTTTTTTTAACAATTATGAGCAGTGACGTTGTACACCTTTAATCCAAGCACTCAGGAGGCAGAGGCAGGCAGATCTCTGAGTTCAAAGCCAGCCTAGTCTACAGAACAAGTTCTTAGAGAAACTCATCTCAAAAAAAAAATTAATGAAGAGTCAAAGAAGTTAACTAACTGATCTGTGCCAAACCCCACAGTTACTGAACGGCTGAACTAGAAATCCAAAGTACCTCCAAATCCAGTTTCCTTTTGTTAACAGATGGCCTTAGACAGAGAAGGGCTGTTGCCCTTCTCCCAACCTCCCTCCCACCTGGAGTCCCTACCACCAGACTAGAATTCCCAGGGAGGGAGATTACACATTTTATAAGTGTAAGAGTAGTAATATCGAATTAATCAGGGAATCCTGCCATCTTTATCATACGTAGGAGGAAGTCCCTGGTCTAGCCATGCCTGCAGCCAAGCCCCAGATACCTGGTACATCTACAGTAATGCGCCAAAGACCGCAAGGGCAGGGCAGGTTCAGGAGAACTTTGGGGAAGAGCTGGAGAGATGGATGGCTCAGCAGCTAAGAGCATTGCTGCTCTTGCAGAGGACCAGTTTGGTTCACAGAACCCACATGACATCTCACACCCCTCTGTGACTCCAGTTCCAGGGGACCTGACAGCCTCTTCCTGTTGCTATGATCACCAGGCATACGTGTGATGCTCACACATACATTAAGAAAAAAAATTCGTAAATATAAAATAATTTTTTGTTTGGTTTTCCAGACAGAGTTTCTCTGAGCTTTGAAGCCTGTCCTGGAACTTGCTCTGTAGACCAGGCTAACCTTGAACTCACAGAGATCCGCCTGCCTCTGCCTCTCCAGTGCTGGGATTAAAATCATGCACCACCACCTGACCTGCTTAAAATTAAAAAAAAAAAAAAAAATGAAGGAGAAGATTGGAGGAGGCAGAAAGCAGGTGAGGTGGAGCTGGCCCCTAGCTCTTTGGAGACAGGTAGACTTGGCTTGAGCAGCCTTGATCCCGGAAAGGGAACAAGATATTCTATATTCTCAAGGTAGGGGACAAGGTGGAGAGAAGCAACGGGAGGCAGGAGATAAAGACAGGGAGCAGGCACTGGAGGGACTTGAATGGCAGGTAGAAACACAGGTTTATCCCTGCAGACTACAGGAGCCACGGTAGGCTTTAAAGCAGTGGAGGTTTGCATAATGTGTTTAGGGAGGCTTGTCTATTCAAGAAAGCGAGGAAGAAGAATCTAGAGAATATTTCAAGACACCCAAACAAGAAAGGTACCATGAGGCAGAAGTTGTGGAATACTTGGAGACAAAGGGGACGTGAACAGTCAGTCGGTGAATCAAATGGCCAGGGGACATGTGACGACATACTTTAGAGCAGTTGCCTAGGGAAACACACCTCAAATGAACTACAAAACTCAGAGCTGGAGAAGACACAGCGACTGGGCTGTCAACCAAAGCCTTCGGAGACGTGAATGCTTCAGAACACAGTTGCCAGGGGTTTTGGTGTTGCTTCATTTTGGTTTGGTCTAAGGATCCAACTGAGCCTTATACTCTTGGTTTGTTGAGACAGGGTCTCACCATGTAGCTGAAGCTATCCTTGAACTCACAATCTTCCTGTGTCAGCCTCTCAAGTGCTGGAATTACAAATATGTACCACTAACCCAATGTCCCAGCCACTCAGCTCCCAGGAATGAAAATGTTTGTCCACACAGTCTTGTGCCTGGCTGATCATAGCTAACTGGAAATGGTCTACATGTCCAGGGGAATGGACTGGGATGCATTTCTAGAGCATGAGCAATGAAACAGAGCCACCGGTCCAGGCAACAGTACAGATGGATGCTCTGACATTGAATTCCACAGATCTGTGCTACAAGAAAGAAGACAGGCTCAAGTTCTCACTGCAGGATTACGTACTCAGGAAGGTAAGAATGGGCAAGACCAAATCAAACCAGCAGGCTATCTGTACGTTATACTCTAATTTAGTTTTTTGTTTTTTAATTTGTTGTTTTGTTTTGTTTTGTTTTGTTTTTGAGGCAGGGTTTCTCTGAGTAGTAGTTCTGGCTGTCCTGGAACTCACTCTGTAGACCACCTTGGCCTTGAACTCAGAGTTCACCTCCTGAGTGCTGGGATTAAAGATGTGCACTACCACCACCCAGCTTAACTTTTTCTTTTATGTGATAAAACCCCAGGACCCTGCATGGTAGAGGTACTATCTAGCATCGAATCCACAATTTGATTTGTTTGTTTTCTCTTTTTTGAGATTTTGGGCACATATATATTGTTGTGACCTGCCGTGTGTGCTAGAGTGTGTGTGCATGTGTGTGTGCGTGTGAGTGTGCGGGCCTGTGTGTGTGTGTGTGTTTTGGGCATATATAATATACGAGCATATGCGTGTGTGTCCAAAATCATTCATACATATATAGTGTTATTTGGGTTTTTTTGTTGTTGTTGTTTGTTTTTCTTTTTGAAGACAGGCCTTCTCTGTGTAACTGCTGTGGCTGTTCTGGAACTTTCTCTGTAGACCAGGCTGGCTTTGAACTCACAGAGATCTGCCTGCCTCTACCTCTGGAGTACTGGGATTAAAGGCACGGGCCACCCCCGCCCAGCTTTATTATTTTTTTACGTGTGTATGTGTGTGTGTGTGTCTATGTGTCTGTGTGTCCGTGTATGGGTATTTATTTGTACATGAATTCAGATGCCCTCCAGTGCCTGAAGGGGCACTGGATCCCCTGAAGCCGCAGTTACAGGCAGTTGTGAGCTGCTCTGTGGGTACTAGCAACCCAACTCAGGTCCTCTGTAAGAGCAATACAGGCTTTTAGAGGCTGAGCCATCTTTCCAGCCCATGCAATTCTGTTTTTTAAATACAATTACTTTAGGGCTCAGCAGTTGAGAGCACTTATTGTCCTGTGTGTTGCACAGGACCTGGGTTCAGTTCCCAGCACACACATGACGGCTCACAACCATCCATAATTCCAGTTCCAGGGGATCTGATGACCTTTTCTGAACTCCGAAGGCACCACACACACACATACTCATATATGCATGCAAGCAAATGCACATACACATGAAACCAGTAAATATTTTTAAAAATGAAGATGTATTTTAAAAACAAGGTTCCCGGAAGCTGGGCATAGGTCAATGGGAAAGTCTTGCTAGTGTTCATGAAGTTCTGA